TGTAAACACACTTTTTTCTGCTGTAAATTTGGGCATTTTACCATGGTTGGTCTATGGCAGGGGTTCCCAAACTTTTCCATTCCACGACCTACCTAGACAAGTATAATGTATTTCACGACCCACCAAAATATTTGAGATAAAAAAAGCAACTGACATTAAGCCTAATCTTAATTAAAAGTTTAATATGACCGATATTAAGTATTTAAGAAAAATAACCATTTTATTTTAGAGTACAACTGTAAAAGTTCACTACTAATATTTAAGTTTTAATTTCTTTGTTTACAGATGTTAAAATATGAAACGTCCATAAAAACGTGAAACAGGCTCACTCCAGTGAGCTGTAATCTGCGCTGGGAGTGTTGTTAAACTGTTGTCCAGCGCAGAAAATGCATTCATGGTCTTTCAGTGTGTAGGGGAGAGCGGAGCACAACCTAGCACTTTTTTAGCAAAGCATAAGAAGCAAAGCAGAACTATCTAAAACAGTTTTGAGATTAAAATAATTGTGAAAAAGTTAAAAATAATAAACAGATGTGTCTCATTTTAAATACTTCAGTCAGAAATGTACTTTTGCAATGGTTAAATGTTCAGCAATATCTTCAAAAGATTTTTTAACTTTGGCACATTTTCTCTATATAGAGATATGTCAACGAAATATTGTGAAATTTTGTTATGTGGAAATGTTTGAATCTTGTAGTGTTACAATTAACGCTGCGTTTGTGCCCTGCTCACCCCGTACATGTGAAATGCTTTTTACAGACCATTTCCCGAACGAAAACAGTGCCGAGTACAAACAGACGATAGAAATTAATGAACATAGCCTACCTGAAACCAAACCGTTTTTGTAACATTTGAATTTTCCGCTGTATGCAATCTCATACAGAATACAGCGCATTGAAGTGAGTGAGTTTTTTCTCATTAATAATGCGGACCGATTGAGCCTTTTAATAATGACATTGCTCTGAGACCCTCACTGTTATTATAACTCATGCGCGCCCACGCTTCAAAACACGCAACGCATGTTTTAAATCGCAGACTTAATTCCGATTCAAAAATCGCACTAAGGATATTGCAATTCGTAATTAATGTTGGTAGGCTATATCGTGCAGTCCTAGACTGAACTGTGTGAGTGTGTGTGTCATTGAAACGCAAATTTAGCTGCAGCCAAGTGACTTTGTGCGACCCACCTTGTTCCACTCTGTGACCCACAAGTGGGTCGCGACCCACAGTTTGAAAACCCCTGGTCTATGGTATTGACTCCCTTTTGGAGCCTGTCGATGAATTGCAGTTTAAAGGGATAGTTCACCCAAAAATAGGGTCCTTACATGATCAAGGTCCAGAAACAGAGCAAGGAGATCGGTAAAATAATCCATGTGCCATCAGGGGTTCAACAGTGTTTTTCAAAGCTACGAGAATACTTTTTGTGCTCAAAAATAAATAAATAACGACTTTAATCATCAATTCGTCTTCTCCGTGTCACCCTAGTGCCATTTTGGAGAGTATCCACTGAACCCAAACACGTACACTGTTTTGTGTCAGCTGCGGCATGCGGATATGTTGTTTTCGTTCAAATCAAAGCGTAAACTGTGAATGGCTTGGTTTCGATTTTAACCTAATCAAGATCTTCTCCGCATTGAACTTCTATATTTCTCTAATATTTTGAATGAATAACGCAGCAGTGGCGTGTCTCGTGGGTTAGACTAACAAAACATTAAAATGCAACAACGTCACTTACATCATCATCACCACTGATGACGCTCCCTGATGCACACCTAACATTCAAAAGCAAATGTTTATTTTAAATTCGACTAATCATTCTTTATTCACAATCTCCTCATCACAGGCAGGCACAGCACTCATTTCAACATGTGTTCATGTTTGTGTGTGCTGTCTGCGTTACTCATAGTACGTGCCTATATCGTGCGCTATATCGAACATATTTTCTATCATTATCAAAGAAGGTGTACCGTCGATAAATATCGATACCTTTTTTTCGCCCAGGCCTACTCGTAGCTTTGTAAAATCACGGTTGAACCCCTGATATCACATGGATTATTTTACCGATCTCCTTGCTATGTTTCTGGGCCTTGATCATGTAAGGACCCTTGCTGTCTATGGGAGGGTCAGAGAGCTCTCAGATTCCATCAAAAATATCTTAATTTGTGTTCTGAAGATTAACATTAGTCTTACGGGTTTGGAACGGCATGAGGGTGAGTAAATAGTGACAGAATTTTCATTTTTGGGTGAACTATCCCTTTAAGTAGTTTCCTTGTTGGTTTCAAGAGAGAGACCGGAAGGTTGCCTCTTGGTGAAAACATATTAACCTATTCAGTTGAGTTTATTCATAAACATACCTTTGTTATTTTACGTTACTTTTTATGCCATGAGAAATATTGAGCTAAACGCCGTTGTTTACCTAAATGATGTTATGTATTCAAATATGTTGTGTAGATTTTAGAAGAATGATTTGTTTGTGAATCATGCATCACTAGTCCTAATATACTTGCATAGAGGTGAAAGCATGCAAATGTGTGTGTTAATATTTCTTTCTCTTTCCTGAACAACCTCCCATTGAAAACAATAACCACAGGCTGGTTTTCAGAAACAACACAGCCATAATACCTCATAATCAAATTTCTCTCACAGACTTGACAAGGTTATTTGATCCAAGCTATGCATATTATCTGTTTGAACCATGATCTGTTTGAATGTAGTGTTTCCAGTCTACATCTGTGCTCTGCATTTTCAGGATACATTGCAGCACAATGCTTTAGTTAGTCCAGGGTTTTCTTTCACAAGTATTTCTCCTCCAATTTATATTCTGTGCCTCACATTGTGTTCAGAGGAGGAGCACTGTGGACCCCACAGGCCTAAAATATGCAGTCAAATACTTTGAATGCTCAGAAAAGAAGCTCTTTGTCTCTGAGTTCCCTAGCAACCGTGTGGACTAGAATGACTGGAAGAGAATTGCCCTACAGAGGGAGAGAATTCAATTGATCCACTGCACTTGCCTAAACACCGGCCAGTAGTGGTAGAGATGCTTTTTCTCTTTGAGAGGTGAAGGAGCAGGGCGGGGGGAAAGGAGCTTAGCTGAAAAGACTAGCTCGGAAATGGGCTGCAGACACAACACTGTACGAAGCCCTTGGCTTTTAACTAAGACTCGCTCCCCCTCCGCTGCCCGGGATGTGCTACATCATCAGAACTCAGCCGAGTTATGTTGTTCCGCCTGTGTCAGCATCGGTGACTGTTCATTTAATTGTCGGGGGAGAGAAAGAACAGCGTGCCCTTCCGTATCTCAAGCCCGTTTTATCCAATTAGCCCATCTGCTATTTGTTGATGAAGTTGTGTCAGAAGAGCCCAGCAATGATGTGTCTGAAACAAAGGACCTTACAGAACCCTTCCACCTTAAGTAGTGCATTATTTTGTGCAGAATCTTATTCTTTAGGGTCACTTTTTTTTGCATATGTCTGACCTTTTTTTCCCCAGTGTTGTTAACTAACAATAACTACAATTATTGAAAATTGTTTTCATTAATTGAATAAAATATAAATATAAGATTCAAAATGTAAAAAAAACAAGTAATGTTCTATTCAGAAAATAAAGTTGAAGTTGAAGTACTAAAACTGAAATAAATAAAAAAAATCTAAGTAAAAAATATTAAATAGAAAATACTCAAAATTACTAAAATTAAAATAAAAACTGAAATATAAAAATAAAATCAAAATATTCAAAATATGAATGCATACTGAATGATATAAATAACACTATAATCATTTTACTTCATTAGCCAGAATGTCAGAACTTCTGTTGTCTAAGTGGATGGTGACATACTATCAAAGAGAAAAAAAACAGTAATGAAATAAGTCTATATATCTCACTATATTCCAGATCTTCTGAAGTCATACAATAGCTTTGGGTGAGGAACACTGTCACTGAAAACCAGCTTTAATTTTTTTTTTTTCCTCAAACAAAGCTATCAGAAGTCTTGGAATATACTGCATGTGTCATGTAGGCTGCTTTTATGGTACATTTATAGTATTTTATTGTCATTTTTGGAGCTTAGGATAAATTAAATGTACTATTAAGACAGAAAATAACATGGTTTAAAAACAACAATAGGGTGGTTTTCTTTTTTTTGGGTGAACTGTCCCTTTAAGAAGTTCAAAAATGTTCTTTAACTCTCCTCTCTTCTCGAGCAGATCTTGCCAAGATAAATCTTTGAACACCATTATATAATACGACAGGGGTAGGAATAGAAATTTTTGAGTTGTTTGACGCTGACAGAGCATGTACAGTGGGGCAAAAAAGTATTTAGTCAGCCACCAATTGCCTGGATGTTTGGCGTTAATCCCAGTGCTGTGGTGTGGTTGAGTGTTGGTTTTTAGAGGCCTCATTGTTTGAACTGTTATGTAGGACCATCTATCAATGTGGTTTCAAGGTGATTTGTGGTTTCGGGCCATAGGGAAAGATCTCGCTTTGTATTACAGTGCCTTATCATTGATGAAAGGGCACATATAATGTCTGTCTAATGTGATCTGGTCACAAGTTTTCCAGCATCAGTTCAGTTCTTGTATTGCAGCAGAAAAATAAACGTCCGCTTTAGTAGACATAGATTTGACCACATGACATTTTTATTGTCATGAGATTTTATTAACTGTCATTCAGTGATTGCACAAACACAGAATAAAGCTGAAGTTCTCTAACATGTCAGACCGTGATGGTAACACTTTCGAAAAGGGAACGCTAGAAGAGTTTTCCATGAACAAACTCCTAATTTGTTGCTTATTAATAGTTAGTAAATTAGTCGTTAAGTTTAGGTATGGAGTAGGATTAAGGGATCTAGAACATGGTCATGCAGAATAAGGCATCAACATGTGCTTTATAAGTATTAATAAACAGACAAGATGCTAGTAATATGCATGCTAATAAGCAACTAGTTAATAGTGAGAATTGGTTCATAAAATAAAGTGTTACCAATGTGACGTGTACAGTTTTTTTGAAACTTTCCACTTTCTATATCAGGTTTGTGTGCAAACTCTGTTCTTTCTCTCATGCATGACATATATTAAAATCTCCTCATTTGAATTCTTCTGTTCATCTTTCTCACTTCATCTGAGCTAGCAAAGCTCCTGGAAACAGTGAAATAATAATGAAGGCAGCTAGTCATTGATGTAGTTTAAAAGAATGCTGGGATTAAGAAGTCTTGTTTTTGGAAGGAAGCGTTTTAACAGCACATCTTCTCATCGTCATCCTCTCTGGCTGCCGCCTCCTTGTTCTGCATGATTTAACGCGTATGTTCTGCTGTGTGATGATGGTGATGCTCACAGATGTCTGGCCCGTTAATGAGACAATTTCTTTGCTGTTCTGTCAAAGTTTGATGTTGTTTTGGTAGTTTACTGACAGAGGAATACTTTCTTTTTTTTTTAACAATTCAACAACAAATGGTTTTAAAGGGGTCATATGATGCTTTTTTAAAGATCATTATTTTGTGTATTTGGTGTAACAGAATATGTTGACATGCTTTAATGTTCAAAAAACACATTATTTTTCAAATAGTGTACATTATTGTAGGTCCTCTAGGCCCCGCCTCTCTCAAACGCTTTGATTTCTACAAAGTCCCTCCTTCTGACAAGCGCAGTCTGCTCTGATTGGCCAGCTGACCCAGTGCATTGTGATTGGCCGAACACCGCAAGCACTCGTCGGAAATGTAACGCCCCTTACCATAATCGCGAGCTTCAGCTTTCAAAATAAATGTAAAGACAGTAAATAATGTCATTAGTTTTACCATCAGTTCAAGACCGAAAGGGGAACAGAGTCGCGTGACAGACACAGTGATGAAGCTGGTATATGTTTGCATTACACAAGCCACGGTTAAGACCGCTGACTCCACTGTGATGTGACCCTGTGTCTCTCTCTCTCACACACACGCGCACACACACACACACACACACACCCACACACGTTGGTTTTTATGGTTTGTGAGGACTCTTCATAGGCGTAACGGTTTTTATACTGTTCAATCATATTTTCTATTGTCCTACACCAACCCTACACATAAACCTACCCCTCACAGGAGACTTTGTGCATTTTTAGATTTTCAAAAAAACTCATTCTGAATGATTTATAAGCCTTTTAAATTACAGGGACACTCAAAATGTCCTCATAAATCACCTTCTCGTTGTAATACCTATGTCATACCCAAGTGCTTTTGCTTTTGCACTGAAACACAGTGTCTCCCTGACATGGCTGGTTCAACACTAACGGCGGTTACTGAAACCACGCCACCTTTCTTTGCGTGAACATTTGGGCGGCATTACGCAAATATTTCCACATAGTGAGGTAGATATGTGGGGGCGTGTTAGAACGAGACATTTTAGGGGGGCGTGGCAGAGTCTTAACTTTGATAAAGAATATCTCTTTGGTTTTGAGACTTTAGTCTTTGCAACTTCAGGGATCGTATCTATGCACAATCAGCTTGTAACACTCCAAAGAGAAAGGAAAACTTTAAATCGCATTATATGACCCCTTTGATATCCATCTCTGAGTGCATATTTTTGGATGATCCAGTAAATTATGCTTTAATTATGAATTATGCTTTGTTTAGTGAAAGATACTTAAAATTGTATCTTCTTTGAAACTTTATGGCCACAAACCAAAAGATATGATTGTTAATAATACACGAATGGTATGTTTTGCGCTATGTCAGGGAATAAAATGGCTGCAAATGTGAATAAAAGAACAGTTTAAAATATAGTTTAAAATATAGTTGTTGTTAGCGAGAATCAGTGAATCATCCCAACTATTAAAAAAAGTTTTTGATTATTCAAATGAAGCTGAAATATAAATGTAAATATTAGATTAAATGTTGCCTTTGCAACTAACTGAAATAACTTTAAGTACTAAAAGTATTAACTGAAATAAATCAAACACTAAAAATAAAATTATTTAGAAATTTCAAAAAAAAAAAAACTAATAATAAAAAGCATGTTGCAAGCTTGTTAAAATTTTTAAATGAAAATCTATAAATAATTAAAATAAAACATTTATAATTCAAATTCAGTTAAAAAAGATTTCAAAATCTTATTAAAACTATACTAGTATATAATTAATACAAAAACAACACTGGTGTATCTATGTGTGGATTCGTCAGATTATATTTTGTTCATTTCAGTTGTATTGCACTCTCTGCATCCAGTAATGGACACTGTTGGAGCTGTGATGTCTGATTTGAACTAATCTTATGAACTGGTTCTTTTTAGTCACACAAAAAGATTCACAAAACAATCTTTGACTCGCTCGTGTTTTGAAGCAGCCTGCTGTGACTTGTACACCAATTTATCTCTGTATAATGCATTCATTTCTTGTTAAACCATTAAAACAAGTTTATCTGGACTTTTTTTAATCCATGTTTCTTTGTTGCTTTCACATATACAGTATGGGTAACATAAATCAGTCCTGCCCTCTAACAGCCACATATGCACTGGTTAAAAAAAAAAATGTCTGCAGAGCCGATTCGCCTGTCGTTCATGTGTCATATTACAGAGGCAGGTTGATAAGTTCACTAAGGTTTCAAATTCGAGACACTTATTCCATTTCTTCGCTTGCAGCTTCATCCTTATGAATATTGCTAGTGTGTCAGCATAAGACAGACATGAATCCTGAGCATGCATCTCTGCTCATCACAGCCGTACGTACAATAGTAAGGGATCTCGGAATAGCAGACATAGCGTCCAGACATGGTAGCTGCTTCAGCAGTGTCTCAGAACGACTCTTGACTCAACAGCAGCAAAGTGGACAGACTCTGTTAATTATTCACACGTATTTGCAACATGAATAATGCAGCCTCTGGCAGGACCAGGGGCTCCAGTCGCTAGCGCTGCACTAACGGCGCGTGAACAAACGCAGCTCGAAAGGTGTTGACTCGACAGCAGGAGGTGTTAGAGCAGAACCGAGACCCAGCATCGTCTGCCTTGTCATCACTTCCTGTTTTTGTCTCTCTAATTGGCCATCGCGAGATATTTAATTCAGCTTCCCCATTTCCTTTCAATCATTAGTGCATGCTTTCAAAAGAAACACATCCTAGTGGTATATGTACACCCCATTTAAGGGGTTGGATGCAACCCAGATCAGTTTCAGCATGTGATGTGTCAGTGTGCCAGCTGCTTGGCTGTCAGAATAAATGCCTGTAGACTGCTGCAAAAGCACCTCCAGTTTAATCACATGTTATACAGAAAAGCTGGTCTGTCAGCTGGCCTCCTGCTGATTTACTTTCACATAGACTGACAAGGCCGGTGTGTTTATTCCCCTGTGAATTACACATTGTGACACAGATGAGGACAGTGTGAGTTTAAGGGTATTTCTGTATGAAATTGGATGCAATGTGCGAAAAGGATTTTAAAAAATCTTCTTTTTGACTCCCACTCAACTCCCACTCTGTTTTTTTTCCTTTGAAAAAATATGTTTCTTTTATAATTTTACTTAAAAACTGCTAATTTTGGCAAATGATTTTAAAATGTAATTTTTAAACTAGTGGTTATCAACAAGAGGGGTGGGGCCCAATAGGGGGCCTCAGCAAACTTCCTGTGGGGCACCAACAAGTCTTAAAATTATTAAAATTGTTATATTAACAGAATCTTAATTAATGCTAAAAAAACACAAACAGTTAAGATGGCAAACATTGAACTGACATGTTTTTGAGTTTATTTGTTTTATGACAACAGAAGTACTGTAGGTACATATCAGCTTAGATAGGAGGGCTTAGATAGTATCGTCAGACTGCCTAGACACTAGCATCAAGATTTGAAAAACCCATATTGGTTGAGCTCTTGCATTTTGCTTTTGGCCAAATATAGTCAGTTGATATGTGATGGCTAGCAGTCTGTAAATATTCATGAATGACAAACAGCGAAAGGTCTTTGTAACTTCTAATTTTTTTTGTGGTACTGTCATTGGAGCCCACATCTAATTAGCAGTTAGCATAAATGCACCCTCAATGATTAAGCTCTCCACAGCACAGTTTTACTGGCATTGAATGAGTGAAGCATGATTGTGAATTTTTGAATGAGAGATTAATTCATAGCCAGCAGGCCTTCAAGCAAAGGTTGCAATGTCTGTCATAAATGTTGAGCTAATGTTAGAGTTTTGTTGTTAAGCGCTGAAATCACAAAGCTACATAGTGCTACATTTAATGCAGAATGGAGTCAGCACACTTTCGTTGTTTCATTTAATTTGAACAGACATGCTAACCAAAACCTTTCTACAGCTATAGAGCCCCTTGAACTGTACTTGCTGTATATTTTGTGGATACGCCTCCAAAACAGACCTCTGCTGTTTTGGTCGTTTTGAGTGGATTTTATCCACACCAGTGAACATGTATCATTAGACCTCTCCAAACTGAGCAATTTTGCCACTTTAAAGCTGAAGTCATGACAGTCTGCCTCTAAGGCAGCAGTGGTGTCTGGAGTGTGTCTGTCTTTTTTATGCGCTTGATGCGACTCTCTGCTTTTGTTCTTATAGGATTAGAGCTGCCAGTTAAAGACATGATGCTAAGCCCATTCACATGCTTCCAGCTTTCCTCTTTCTGAGCTGCGTTTGACTATATGCGTTCATGTCGGGTTATTACAAATGGCAATTTAAGCTGTTGTTTAGCATCCGATATGCACACTGGGGACAGCATTGAGGAAATATTAAATGTCACCAGATCAATAAACGGTTCAGATATAGCCTGCCTCAAGCATACAAAAATAGGTTTGTTGACACCATTATGAAGTGTATCATTCAGTATTTACATTGTTGGATATATTTTGAGAATTTATCTGACGGCTGTAACCATACTGTTGGGACCAAGCCGGCTGTCGGCGACTGTATATTCAGTTGCTAATGCTAGTGACCTTGTTTTTGTTTGCAAAGACTCCACCTGGTGCTATGTGCTGTTCTACGGATAAAAATACCCTTAAGAGCCGCACTGTCAATAGGGTCTCAAGGACAGTGCGGTGTGAGCACAGTTGGCACAGGGAATGCAATGACACACTCTTAAATGCCACACTGAGTGATCTATAGGTTGGCATGTGCCCCCGTGGTAGTTATACTGCTGACCTGGCTTAACAATGCATGCTGGAGACCTCACATTAACATAGCTGTCTGATCATAAAGACGTGCCACATTTCCCTTTGTTCTTATTCTTTGCGGTATATTTTTGCAATGCAGACCAGTGATTTCTCTCTTGGATGCAGTACAGGGAATGTTGCCACACTTCTTGAGATAGACTAATAGCAGTAACACCCTCTTTAGAGAGCCACGCATGACCTCACGGGTCACTTTGGCTGTCTAGTTGACAAATCACTTGAGGCTAATTAAAATGTGCAGACACCTTTTTTTTGTGGCTAGTCCAAGTCTGTTTGCTTCCCTTGCTGATTGTTTGGCTTTTTTTGGTGTTGGTGTGCTTCATTCCACATGTGTAAGCTTTTATTTATTTACGTAGACAGATTTTTGTGCATTTACATCATTTTGTAATTTTATTAGCAATTTCTGAGTAAACAAGTTGTTTCTTTACCAGATTTTTTCAGTGTAGTGGATAGTGCATGTTCTATATATGATCAAAAGTTAAAGCCAATAATGCAAATGATAATAATAATAAAATATAGTGTTGTCAAACGACCCAGTACTTCGGTACCAAGTCAGTACTAAAAAAATGAAAACGTTACGGTACCAGGTTTTTTTTAAGTACCGGTTGTACCGAGTACCCGGTCAACCCGGTTCTTGATGCGCTATCCGAAAGGTGCGCAGATGCGCTCTCTTCATAAAAGCACTGAGACATGGCGACCTCAAAATGAGGAAACCCATCAAACTAACAAACACTGTAAAGACAGACACCCGGATCAAATGAAAGAGTTCAAGCAGGTAAGTTTCATTTAAATTTCTCCGTGTTTCCCATACATTGATTTATTTGTGGCGCCTGCCACAATATCAAAACTGACCGCCACACATAGATTTTCCAAAAGGCTTTGACTTAGTTGAATAAACATGAGCACTGCACGTAGGGCTGGGTATCGTTCAAAAAATTTCGATACCGATACCTTGACTTCGATACTGGTTCCTGAACAATACTTTTTCCGATACCATTTTTTTCTGAAATGAATTTTCAGATTACATTAGATTAGACATACAAAAGATTACATTATCTAAAAAAAAAAAAAATGTTGGTTTTATTTTTCAGCTTGTTGATGTTTATACAAACTCAAATACTCATCTCCTGAGCCACTGCACAAAGGAACAAAATTTAACCAACATAATAAATCAGTGCAAATAGTTTTAATAAAGCTCAAATAGTCTTCAGTTTACACATCTGTTAGGCTACATTTACACTAGCTAGTGTTCATTTTAAAATGCATAGCTCTGACAGAATCATGATTTCTATTTATTTTCCACTGATTTACTGATGAGCATAGCAGCTTCCAGCGCTGTCTGCTTGTGTTCTCTCTTCCATGATCGCTGCTCTGACTCAGAGGTAATAACATATTTAATTTCAGCAACATTACATGGCCAAAACACACATTAGACGGCAATCGGAAGTTATTACAAACACTCGATGGTGGTGTTTGAGTAAAAGCAGAATAAAAATCTTATTTATTGTCTTATGTAGCATGATGCTACAGTTTACATGAATGGTCACATAACACGCACTTTCGGTCGTGTAACGTGAATGGACATCTGCATATGATCGGAACTCCACGCAGATCCCGCGCTACTCTCCATTGGAAATTAATTCAAGTTTAATTCAATTCAAGTTTATTTGTACAGCACTTTTCACGATACAAATCATTGCAAAGCAACTTTACAGCAAATGAAGTTTCTACAATATTTAGTGGTAGCTTATCAGTGGTGACTGTCAGTCAATGTACAT